GCAAATTGATCTTCTAATTGGCCATAAGACAATAATACCCACAAGCATATAGTAAAATCCCACCAATTCACCCTGATTAGAGACAAAATCTTTCGTTTGATATATTTGGGTTTGAAGTCCACGTTACCTATAAAACAACGAAATGTACTACTGTGTGATCACAGCAGTGTGCTAAATTTAGAGAGAGAAAAAACAACTACTTAAGATTTATTCGCTTCCTCCTATGATCATCTGGTTTTTATCGGGTGTTCAGTTATGCGTGCATGCTATCATCACCTCCCTGTTAACATTTTATAGAGCAGAGAAAGAAACAAGCATAACTTTGACATTTGTTTATATTTATAGTCTATATTGTCGTAAGTGTCAAGTTAATGAGGTTCTCGTATAACTTTTCAAAGGTAACTGCATTGTGTGTTTTCGAACTGCAGCAGAACCTGAGTCAATAATGGTGACTGTCTAACGTATGCTCAGCAAATGTCCAGTTGACTGGTAGCGTGAAAAGTCGTTAATGACTCAATAAACGTCACATACCGGGCCTAACTCAACCCGTTAATTGCTTGGACTGCAAGCATTTTTCAGTATGTTACACATATTCAGTATGTGCGCTTAACCAGACTTAGCTATTACATATGGTTTCTATTGTGCTACTCAGCTGTGTCCTCTAAGAGGCATATCACTGACCTTCTGTCTATGAAGATCACTGACCTTTTTGTCTATGAAGAAAGGGTGTATCGCCCTGCTGGGACCTTACCCAGACTAAACGGAAGTATAGACGTTATTAGATTAAAAAAACGTAAATTAAGGGGAAGACCCCTGCTGATGGAATATGTTGCAAAAAGAAAATAGCATGTATGTTTGTAGCTTGCTCTGTCATTGTGTGATGATTGCGTGAATATGGAGCTATGTTCTGGCGACATTGTCAGACAAATTGGGGCATGCGAAATATGATTTAAATGTTACTATATATTCATATGGCATAAAACATTAACATTCCGATGCATCTGACCATGACCCGTTCTTATCGTTATATTTGTGATCTAAGAACCTAGATAATATCATGAACATGGTACTGCCGTGAATAATAAAGTCAAACTGCACAGGGGAGTCATACCTCTCAGATTGAACGTTGGAACGTCCCACCTGTATAACGGGATACTCAAGAAAACGAGTTCCCAATCTCGACGAAGAATCGTAGACCTCTCTAGCAACTCAGCTGTCATTACGAAAGGGGTGACAATTTAAAATTGTATTACGTATAAATCTAATAATGACATTGGTATTGTTAATTAATGGCCTTGATTGAGTAAACAGTACCATAAGCTGCTCCTAAACAATTGGCTTCGACATGATTCTAAAGGCATCACATACTCTTCACACTTTCATTGGGATATCTTTCTCTGATTTTTTGAAAGGCCTAACTGCATCAATGCTTTTGACGTTTCCCAGGTTTGAAGAAAACCAGCGCGAGCTTCCCATCTGTTGATGTAAGCGTATGTGTGACCTCATACTACAAATACATCAGAGCTAATGAGTTTGCTTCCGGTGACAAGTTGACTATAGAGACACAGAACGAAGAACGCAACTATTCCACAAAAATTCCGTTCACAAGAAAGTAGTTAAACACACTGTGTGAGCAAAGAAATTCGATTCCAAGTCCAGAATACATGATCCAAATCTTAATCTGCCTTGTATATTTGATCATTGTCGAATCCTTGACCTCAGTTAACCCATTATCTGTCATTCATACATCCGACACAACATTCAGCTCTAGTATTTACATGCCACATTTAGGCAATCTATACACGTAATGGGAGTAATAAACTCAGTCACCAGAATTCCATATGTACATAGGCAACAGTGATCGCAGAACACCAAACAGCGATCCATCAGAGAAATGGTAGAACGTTTTCATCTTAAATTTAGATTACTCAAAAAATATCAGTTACTGCGTTTGTGTTTTGCTACGGGAATGGTGTAGCCTAAAGACAGAGCTTCTATCTCTTGTTTGCAATCAATAGATATCACGCCTGTCGGTGTTCGTCAACCTAAAGTCATAAATTAGCCTCCTGTATGTCTGACGTTATAGGATAAATCCAAACATAATACTAGAGTATGCGATACATCTGAAGAAGCAAAGTGAACTATTTATAAAGGTATATCTGCTCTATAAATTCAGGGCAAAGTTCAGGCACGGGTCACTGGTCTTGCAATAGAGATGCTGATATTTACATCATTTCATTTACCGCAAATAACAACTTATTCATTATCATTATCACTTTTGTTAGTTAAACTGCTCTATCCAAAAGATAATTCCTGCCCCTGTATTTCCACTTCTTCGTGTAAAAACTAGCCTGAAACCAATCATCGAGAAGAATTTACATAAATCACATCATCTCTCACTGTCAGAGGACACGACCGTGATTTACGGTTCGTAATTCGCTTCAGATGTAGCGACCGATGATTAAATGCATTTCTTTACGTTTTATTTCGTATTCAGAACGCGTTGGACTTGCACGTGTTGGCATTCCACTGTTCTCCCACTAGGTCACTCGCTGCATGGGAACAGACTGTGAGCTATGCAGCCGCTACTCCACATATGAGACTTCGTATATTTACATACGCCCGTTGTAGTTCGCTCGGGGCATCTCTATTCAAACAAGAACTGCCATTCAAGCCTTGGCACATACATATATACCCGATTTTGATGAATTAAACTAACATAGTATTTAAATTTGTAATTATGTAAGATATATGTATTTACGTTTCTTAGCAACCACCTAATTACCCATACTAGTCAACTATTTAAAAAAAAAACATAACAGAGTAGTTCACCCATGTAATTGTCAGAGTACACTGAACGTGTCTGTATACCAAACTCCGGGCATTAGGAATGCATCAAAGTGACAATAAATTTGCCGAGCGGAATACCCACTGTGACACAGTATTCGTTCCATGAATATTTAACCTATTTAACCCCTGTCCCACTAAAGGGTATATGCAAATTTCTATTTAGCGTAACCGTGTACATGTGGTGCCCCAGTAAGTAAAACAAAATGGCGATGTTGACGTGGCAAGCTACCGGAAACAACGTAATGATATAGTGTTGCATATTTCATTTCGGTGGTGTGGCAACCGATGCGATTTCAGGCCTAAAGCTTTTTTTAGATAACCCAAAATACAAAAAATTTGCCTGACAGCCACGTCACAGATGTGGACTGCCTGCTAAATATACAAAATGTTTAAGAGATGTATTAAATTTATACATCAGGTACACCATATTTATTAAGTCTATATATTCATCAAATAGTGTATAGTAGATATTCACCCGTGTAATAATGTAATACTTTTACTATACTGCATTTATAGTATTATATACAACAGGATTTGACCGGACTCCACACAACAAATTTCACTGATTCTGTTCTAAACTTTTTGGATTTCGGCATTCCCATGATGTATCCTTGGAAGGAAAAGATGTATAATAATAAGGTTATTACGAGAATACCTCACAGTATGCACTCGGACAGTACGCCGCGCATCGACCTCCGCTGCGCGTCGGTCGATACTCCAGCTGTACTGTCTTCGTGCATACTTTGAGGTATTCTCGTAGTAACCTCATATTATTATGAATTCGTAACATAGAGAATAAGTGGCAGTACAACGAGAATGGTGTCAATTGAAAATTGCATACATTCTGATCTTTGGTCTGACCCTATCTGATCTGCTAACTTATCACAATGGCCGAACACATACACCCTGATTTACAACAAATTCCATCACTACAATCATCAATTTAACTCGATGTATGCAATTGTGCAGCAGTAGCGTGGTTGTGTGTTAAGGTTGCCTTTTAGTTTTTAAAAATTATTTTGTAGTTGTCATAAGTTTTCAAAATAAATGTGAGAATACACCCAAAATATCAATAGTAGACAAACTAGTACGCGGAAAAGTCACGCATGCATAAATCCCACATTGACATTGAAAAACAAAACAAAATATGCAAATAGGTTGGATATTTGAACACATAATGTTTTAAATTGTATTCAAATTGTTTAAATCGATTAGCAATAATGACATTGCTGAGGTTGGTTAGTGCACGACATGTAATTAAAGGTAGATCAAATGTAGTAGTTATGAAACCATGTAGTCTACACATTTTGTAAAATGAAAGAAATCCCGGCCTGCCAACCATTTTCTGACGCCATAAGTTTAATTGACATCGAAGGAATAATCACTATTAATGGTAATTGAACTGTAAAATACGAAGTCGAAGTCAGCTCAAGAACTCATTCGTTTGAGGGTTCAGTACGAGAGTTATTAGTATTACATAGAACAATATAACGGTTTCCAATGGTGGCTTTGCCCACCAGAACCCCCCTTCAACTCCAAATCCGCTACTGATAATTAAATGTATGTCTTAGTCCTTGCATCGTAGACAAAATGTGAACATACTATACTGTTTGACTTGGAGAGGGGTCATGTGATAGATGGGCAATACATGGCTGGGAAAATTGATGGCAGTCAAATTCTTGTCAGTGTTGAAGTTGAACTAACAAATCACAAACCCTTGCCGGAAAATGCAGTGTGTGATCTTGATTAAATTGTATATGTTTATAACATATTTTGTCTTGTTCTAGATCTCTCATATTCGGGATATATCAACTATTTCAATTCCAGTTCTCCCTTTTTCTAATTGTCAGATTTACATTGTCTGCTGGCCACCAGGAAAAATTGAATTCACGTACACGTGGATGTTCAGTTGATACGTGACGTCTTGTACAAATTGGTTTCTTTTCCCTAAAAAAATCTTAGATAAGGGTCAACATTTCGGGGTAATGAAATAATAATGAAAGTAGTATTACTGACCAGATTTAGGCAAACATTAACGTGAATGACAACTCCTCGCGTACCCAACACAGAGTTCTCCTTTTTTATTGTTTTATCGCCCTGGTGTTCTATCCAATTTTACCAATTCTATTCTGATTTCTTCCCTTCTACAGGCGCAACAGATATTTTAGAGGTTGCCGGATTTAGAAACGAAAAGCAATTACGAGGAGTACACAAGGCAGACGGCTTTTGTTTAGACAGGCCAGTTAGTGAAACGTCGAGATATAAACTGGGCACATCTGATACAGCCTTTCGACTAGAGGAAGAGGCGCAAATTAGCATACCAACGCTGGAGTTATTTTACGGTAAGTATGACATCAGAATGCACGTAATGACGAGACATGTGTTGATGGACACACTGTAAGCTAACGATACGTTTACACATACTCAAAACTATGTGATTATGTGTTTATAAAAATGAAGTGTTCAATCTAACCTTTGACCTAGTTATTATGTCATCTCTCGATAAATAAGGAAGACATTGAATGAAAGTTGTACTTGTTTTACATACTTGTGCATTTCTGCTCAATTTAAATCATTTTAACAAGCGATAAAAGTGTGATTGAACACATTGTCAAATTAATTCGGTAAAATAATCATAAACTTAGAAGATCAAATTTTACTAACAAAATTGGTTCTTCTGTGTGCCGTATGGGAACTATTAAAGGTTGTCGCCTGGCAACCGTTGACGGTCTGGGTGACGTATGAACTAGGTGTTGACCTGAATCGACCTCCATACGTCAGAAACAACTACCCCCAGTCCAACACACAGAGTTTTAAATAAAAGTTATATTATAATATCTGTGACTTGTATCACTAAACTCGTGCCATCATCACATTGAAATACACGCTGTCAGTTAACCAAATAAGGTAGTTCATTGACCATATATGGAAAGTTGTGCTTTCTCGTCAAAGTTAGTCATTCGATGAGAACGGTATATATGATAGACGCCGTGGATTCTCAATTTTTTAGTAATCACTACACAAATCTCGATGAACTGAGCAGACAATTCACCCCGGGTCCTCATCCTTGTGGAGTCGAGATGAACTTACTGATGACATCGTATATGAACCATGGCAGTCAACTATTCCCCAATGGATGCCACTATAGACGAGAAATCATAATAGACTGCATTTGAGAACGGAGATGTCTGATATTTCTACACGCCCCAGTCAAAATAAACAAGCCGGCATTTCACTTTGTATATATCGATTACCGGTTTGCTGCATATCTGAATGTCAGTCTCGGTGTCTGACGCGAGACCGATAATACCTTTCACACGATAATATTACATTTAATAACACACCCCCTTCCTCACAAATTGATTCAATCACCGAAGGGGAAATGTATGTTTCGATATAACTCATAATAACTGTTCATTGTCAACGTTTGTAACCTTATAAAAAACATAAGGGACGATAAGCAAAATAGAAATTGAAATTCTGGATCACAGACATATCAAATTTTTGAGAAGCCGTGCAAATCGTCTGCCTCAAATATATTTGAAGCAGGTACAAAGCCATTAATTATATTGACCTCAATGCAGAAGTAATTATCATTCTGTTGAAACGGTCAAGGTCAACTTGGGGGTAGTTTTGAGCATGCTAAAAGGTAGTTTATCTTGTTGAAACAGCAAAAATACTAGTCGGTTGGCGATATAATGTAGAATAACGCAAATGCGTATGTATATGTAAAGGTAATTAAAGATAATACAAAGCGTATGCGCACTAGCGAATGCTACTATATTTACTATTTTTTTGCGATAACATATACCATTATTAAAATATGTTAAAACATTATTAAACATGTTATTCACATAGTCTCACTAACATTTCCGTTACATCTATAGACGATTTTCCTGACGATTTTTCCATCATTGCCACGGTGAGATCGGAGAAGACATCGGAAACAAGTTTGGTTACGATCTACGGGAGTGATGGAATCGCGCAACTCGGCATCGAGCTTAGCAACAGAATGACAAAGTTTATCTACCAAGATTACTATCCCAGAATGCCTGGCGACGATATGACCACTTTTCCAGCTGATATTGCGGATGGCAAGTGAGTAAATCTAGGGCAGTGGCATATGCCGCTGTAGAAATTCAATGCAGTACGGATATCGCGATATGGTGGTATGATATCGTGGTATTGTGATGTGTTCTTGCTTCGATGCCATTTCTAATGCCTGCAATCTTATGTTTTGCTACACTAGGCGCACAAACTAAGGCACATGTTTTCAATGAGAAGACAAAAATGAATAAAATAAAAAAACGAATCCACTACTGAAATAGTAATGTAGTTTGACAATAAAAAACTTCATCCGCGATACCTACTTAAATCAATTGGCATATATCATTATCTTGTGTGCGTTTAAATAAATAGTATTGTTTATTTTTCAATCACTATACTAGTGACTTCAGGAATGCATTAGCTTGGTCAAATGTATAATTAAGTGTAAGAGATACAACTAGTTAACATTCGGGTTAGGCATTTAGAACACAGCAACGATATCTTAAATGTTGTTTCGCGCAAAGTAAAATGTATATCAAAAGCATCCAATATTTCAGTAGACCAATGCGTTGCTATTATTACTATGCATAATATGTTAGAATTCATAAATAGACATTATCAAAATTGCTAACTCTCATTTTGCAACAATCACCTCTCTATTGTAAAATAGGAATTGCTCCAATGATGCCCAGTTTGTTTTAAAAATATACACTTGTAGAATAGCTGTTTATGCATTCCAAATACCCGAGTGTTGTATAAAGAAGAGGTGGATTAAAAAGCGCAGACTCTGTCAACAAAGGGTTGCATTCTGTGGATACAGCGGTATTAGTTAGATATTCTACACTCTGCCCGGCATTACAAGTGGTGGCCTGTCTCGCTCACAGTCTCTACTTACAAGTATTGTGGTGACTACCTAGAAGAATACAAGACTGGCTCCTTCAGTTTGGGCTATTCTGTTGGCTGTTCTGCCTCATTTGACAACATTCAATAGAAATGTGTGTGTCACGTAAAGCCATAGGTGTCACCAATAAACAGAGGTAGCTGAACGCTGGAATCGTGTTACAACGCCTATCATCACTTATAAAAGCACTTCTTAAGGAGCCTTTTAAAAAATGTCAATTCCCCCTGACCGCTAGTACTTTTTTATGCGGCTCTAACCACTGCTTTATATCGCCACTTTGGCTTTATTTATGTGTCTATGCAATGCTTTCCATGATCCCCCCTCTATTGAAGTTATCGTCAACAAATTAAACAACGCCCACCATCATCGTCGCTGTGGACATTACACCACTCATAGACACGTGTGTATCCAATGTCCAACGCCTGACAACTGTCACCGTAGTTCCGGTAGATATGCAACGGTTTTCGTCTAACATTACTAGCCAATAATCAGTTTCGATTTCAATGTCATGTTGTAACACAAACTTACATTTATCAATTAAGCGGCCACCCTGATAGCAAAAACTAACTAACATAACATGGTTTGAGAGGACTTAGCTTCAGACCAATTTCACGAATTCTATCCCACTTGTAAAACATACCAGACATATGCAATCGCTTGAACAATTCTTCCCCAAGAACTACTAAGTGCTGAATTTGGTTGATCGCATTGGTGTCTACTGATATTTGGTATTGCTGTAATATGTTCCTATCGACAAATCTAATTTACTCAAATATTGTCCATAAACTTTATTAAGGTAGTATCTGGGCGTTTTGGAATAGCGGGGATGTATCAGAAGTTATCCGAACTAGGTGGTCGTAACTAGGTGCTGCTGTGGACAAAGATGGTTTCCTTTAGTGTACTTTGACCACAAGTGAATATCTCAAATACCTAACGATACAAGAAAAAAACGACAACGAACTTTTGAACTTGTAGAAAAAAAGCATAAACTCCACTTTTTTAAAACCAACAAGCAGTCAAAATTGCCAGTGGTTTGTTCAAAAAAAGGATCTTCCAGTTGAGTCAGGTGTAACAAAAGAAACCAAAATCCAACTATCAATATTTGAAGTTCAAAATCCACAGCAAGACATGTAATCTCCAGTTTGTTTTCCTAGACACTCACACCTTTAGATTGCGCCTTTGGAGACGTATCAACTTCGTTGACTTTCAACATACGTGAATCAAACCTACAAGCACCCTGCATGCATGTGTGGAAGCTTATAGAGTGGTGAAGTCAGAATGGTGCCTGGTCTGTGTCGTAGCCTTGAGGATTAGTTGAAACATGAGAGGAAACAGCTTCTTCGCTCCATTTCATTGCAGACAAACGTTAAAAGAGAGTGCTGGCATTGTGTTCATTGTGGAAGGGAATGTTCAAGCACGGCGGCATTCTATTTGGCATCTCTGCCATTTTATTTGGTTATCCTATGAATTCTACAATGTAACGTTATCCTGCTATTTATAGTGTATTCTCCTATGTACAATATATTGCATTAGTGTGTCCGCACTTTGGGTACTTATAACGTCTCGCCCAATAAATTGTATATCTCCTCAAAAGCGTTCCCAGTCGACCTTTGAATGGTATGAACTCTGAACATCAGTACGAGAAGCATAGGCTTACTGCGTCTGACTTCTTCGTAGACACTGTGTGGCATCAGAAAGAGGTGCCTGGCAATTAGCTACACGTTCTGTCATCACTAGTCCGTAATCATCGCCTCTATTACCTTGTTCAACAAGCCACAATGGCGATTTGTCGCTCCAGTGTATACTGCTACCATTGAAGCATGTCGACCAGGGGTGCTTATCTCAGAGTGCCTATTACAGTACGAAAAATGAGAACCGTTTATTTGACTCGTAAAATAGAACTCATCTGGTGGTTTCGCTAACCCTGAAAACCGCATGCATGTCAGAGGCATTTGGCGTGACAAGCTATTGTGAATGTCTGGCCATTAAAGTAAATATATGACCAATCAGATGTCGTGTATCCCAATGTAGACTGTATTAAATTTCAGTCGCTGCTGTTTCTTTCCTCTTGTGGTTATCGCTTGCGTTGGCTGGGTGTTATTTTAACAAATGTCCTAAAACGTTTCGTGTTCGATGCCATGGTGAGAAAGCCATTTTATAACTGTAGGCGGGTATACAATGAAATGCGAAATGAATGGAATTCTTCATAACTTTAAACACAAACAAGCGTGATGTACCAATATATGTTGCAGTTAATCCTGGCCTTATTAACGCAAATGTTTGGAATAGTTTAATCAATGGCCAGCAAAGTATTGAATTCTTAATGCACCCTCGTCCAGGATATGTCTTTTTAACAACCGACTACTTCACCCAAGAAACCCGCCCCATCCACACACAAATTTGAGCTGCTATTCGCATTTGTTAACATTATAGAACACAGTTGTTTTGGATTTGGGTTTTTGCGGACATTGTCAGTTCAAATAGTGCATTTGAACTTTCTAATTACTTTGCTTGAATGCTCACAATTGGTAAACAGAGAATATCCGAACCAGCGTGTGATTACGAACAAGTATGGTATAAATGTCTCGCTTTATTAAACATAATTTAAACTATTCAAACAACAAACGTTGCGTTTGATGAGTGTATTTTGGAATTAAAAATATATATTTAATTTAATTTTTATTTCATAACTACAGCGTTTTTACAATGCGCAACGTTGCACTATATATTTGTAAAGACAACATACGCGTCCTCTGATGCACCGAGAATCTACGACTGACTTTGTTGTACATACCGTGATCATTCGCTGCTAGAATGAATTGGTATGTCAACACAACCAGTCGGTAAATGGCAAATAAAAAAAAACACCATTTTGATCACGTGTACGTCGACATACTCCCACTAGCTGATGATTATTTCGGGTGAGGCGTACAATATTACTTTCTTACATCTCGATTGTGATAAAATAACATTTACTTGTAAAATGTATATGAAGTGCAATTAAAATATGAGCAGGTGGTATAACTTGATAAACTTTAATCAGATAATCAAAATAATAATAATTACGTTTCAGGGAAAGCCTATTATAAATATATCGATACGTCATCCTACTAAGCTAAGTATGGATTCGTATCTTGTATTAATCGGTGCGATCTTAGAATTATACATACGTTTTGTATTCGATAGATTCCGCGTATAAACGATAAGAAATACTAAATTGGAGGCATAGTGGGATTTCCAGATACATACAAATTACGGTAACCTTGGAAACGGATTCATAATGTGTGAATTTTGACGGTTGACCTACATTGGCGTCATAGACAGTAACATTCTGAATCTCCAGACGGGGAGAAAGCATGCCAGGAACGCTGGGAACCAGAAGGACGCAGTCCACGTCAATACATCATCAATTTCACATTCCCGTGAGTTTGTGTCAAAGTTCCCTACACTGAAGGACAAACGCGGGATGAATATAGGGCAGATTAGAACATTCCTGATGTAACTGATTGATTTTCCTGATCGTACATAACTGGCGACCCAATAATGGTTCTTTTTTTCCTTAGAATAGATACACGGTTTGTGGTGTTGTGGCTGAATACAATGCATGTATGCAGCGAAGTAATTATATACAGCTAGGAGGGTCGGTGATGTTTCGACATATTTTGGTTTTATTTCCATCAATACTAAATCAAGAGACCACCTTTGAAGTATGCCCATGGTGTGAATACTGTCACTGAGATATATTATGTTTAACGTGAACGTTACAACGAGATTTAGATTGCACAAAAATGACGTAATGCGACCACCCAAATACTAGGCAGGGGGTACTGAAACAACCATTCCTGAATTATTTAGAGTAATTACTTTTTATACTAAGCATGCGAAATGTTCAACCTTTGGTTTGAACATTTTGCAGATCAAATGATTTGTATGCTCTAACCAAGACAAAAAAGGTTTCCATGTTGCAAACGATTTAAGTTCACATGCAGAAATTGATGGGGCCACTGGCCAGAACGTAGATAAACCACGCCCACGATGAAATATTCTAGATATAACCCTCGTACCGTATTCGTTCCTATTTATGTAGAACACCGTGCCTCTGTTTGCCCTTGAATCAACCACATTATAAATCAGAGAGACTTGACCGAAT